CACCTTCACGCCCCCTACGAGCGTGAACCCCACGACTCCTATCTCTGCCACCGCACCGCCCAAGCCTGGGAAATATCGAAGCTCATGCGTGGTGCCGCAGAACGTGGTCATCTCGTCATCGGCCTCGGAGACTTCAACATGCTGCCATCTTCCTTCGCTCACCGTCTCATCACCGCCCAAAGTCCCGTTCGCGACGTCTGGCGCGAGCTCCACCCGGACTCCTCTGTCGGCGCCGCGATCGACGCTGTGGAGCGCGCGAGAAACCGTCCCATTCCATCCGCGGAGTATAACCTGCTCGAAAACGGGGCGACTTGCGACGGTTCATTCAATACATGGCGATGGTCCGAGGCGCTCCGTAAACAACTCGACAAGGGCCAACATGTGACTATAGATAAGGACACCCCGGACCCACGCGCCAAACGTCTCGACTATATCTTCGTTGGGGATGGTGGTTATGCCCCGGAATTCCCCTCGCCGCGTTGGTCTGTCGAATCTGCTACGGTGGGAATGACACAACGCCACCCCACACTCGGCTGCTCCTTAAGCGACCATTTCGCCGTCGAAGCAGTCATCACTCGTGCTCCAGGCCAAGCCACTGCCTCCACTCGCACGTGTTCCGAACCTGGCTCCCCTAGTTCCCCCTCTCTACACAAAACCTCGTCGAAACAGGTCTCCCCGAACGCTGCTCTCGCCCCAGAGACCTATGATCATATCATCGATATGATTCACACCTATGTCAGGCGAGAACGTTCCCAACGTAGTTGGCGTCTGATCCATTTCATTGTCTCCATCTTGATCTCAATCGGCTGTATGGTTGGTGTATGGTGGATTGGAAGTCGGACCTACATCGGATTCATCTTGATCCTGGTGAGCACGTTAAATTTTGGTGCCGGCATTTTGGATGGATTGATCGGTGGACTCTTCGTGTCAAGTGAACTTCGTGCATTGAAAGAATTCGAGTGGGAGGTACGCAATGCGAGAGGACTGGTGCTTGTTTCAGAGGATATCGGTTCTGGCGAAAGGCAGAGTGATAATCAAATGCCCAGTAGCTAGCTCTTTTTGCAAAAGTTCTAACTTTCCGGGCCGCTGATTTCCCAGCCAGTTGATCAATACCGGCTCAGCATCCTCGGTAAGACAGGAATTTGTGCCGCGACTCGATCCTCGACAGCCTGCGGGTGGAGACTTTTCCAACACGCCTAAATAAAAACGAACGGAATTCAAGACAAACCGGGGCAACCTATCAAGATCACGATATCCGGCACACAACAAACTGTCTGTGGAAATCAAAGGAGAGCCCAGAGCTCCCTGTAACCTGCAGGATTGCCTACGAGGAGCAACCATCCCCTCAACCCCGATAGTTCGACCTCCTATTGCTCTTTCTACCGCCTTACATGTACTTCTCGATATCTAACTAACTAACTGGTACCCTGGCTGCCCACGATCCCTACATCGCCGGATTCAAAACCTGAACTTCGGGACTGGAATAATTAAGAGGCTTTTGGTTTCGGTCCATATAGCCTTGCCATAAACAGTCTAAACGATTCTACGCTTGTGGAAGAGTAGTTTATGTATCGAACCGAGCAGGAGTGTTAGATGGCGGTGACCACCGCATTTTTGGCATCTCTTGCTTCGCCATATCCTTCATCTACCCCCTTTCTCATCCTCTCACACATGTTAGAATCCTCAGTAACTAGTATCCTACGTATAGTGAGAAAAGTCGTTGTGATTATTCTGATATTACGTGTTTTGAGTGACTATCCCTCTTGGCTAGTATCCAAGAGGACCTATTTCTGACTATCAATCGAAATCTAATGTTCCAATATTACACCGAGGGCGCACACCTGGGCAGCCGATTCAGTGTTGGTCCACTTGCCTTGCTCTCAATTCGTCAACTGCCTCGGAATAGCCCGCCTTTACAGGCCCTTGAGGATCTTGGGAATGAGTCCCTCGTCAAACTTCCACAGCTGAGTCTGAAAGTTTGCCGAAAAGGCGCCACCTGTCCACCACGTGGAGCGAGCACCCTGGAGCTTGTACAAGTCCTGGAAGAAGCCTGCCTTCACTTGATCCACGGTGACCCGAGCATGCATGGCACCGTGTGTAGCGAAAGCGGCCCAGCTAAGCTCTTGCTCTTGGCCTGAAGTGATGAAACGACCAGACTTGAGCAAGGTATTGAAGCTTTCCTGGCTCAAAGCTTTGGCCTCATCGGCGGTAGTAGTGGTGTTCCCGATGACCATCACTCGAAACAAATTCTCGAGGCCGGTGTATTGGAAACTTGCGACCATGGGGTCCTCTTGGTAGACAAGGGTGTTGTCTGGGGCGGCGGATGACGGTAAGTTGAAGTAGTAAGTGCTCTCGTTGAATACGGGATTATCGACCAATCCAGCAAATTCATTCGAGTATGTAAACTTGGCCAAGGTTGATGACTCAACGGGGCTCAGATCCAAAGTCTTCACATTATCCTTGGTGGGCTCAATGGCAACAAGAAGTCGTCTAGCGATGATTAGCGTCACCTTATTCGTCTTGTGATTGCGGACGGTAAGGAAGACGCCAAAATCGGTGCGGCGGCTGTCGATGACAGTACTGGAGTATAGAACGTCGTCACCCAGGTCCTTCGCAATCGCGTCGTATAGCACCTGGTTCCCCCCGGATGTAGGCGTAAACAGGCCCATTTTGCCTGTCAGGCCGCGCGCCATATCCCAGCCAAAGCTTTGCAGCGCGAACATGGTCGTGACTTCACTCATATTGCCCACGCCGAGGCCAGTGGATGCGTAAATGATAGGAGCGCCATCCTCCAGGCCATGTTTGGTCAAAAACTCTCCAAATGGAATCAGAAAGTCATCTGGGATATCAGACGGCTCGGGGAAGTTCCAGTAGCCAGGGAATAACATTGATTCCCAGGGCTCAATGACTTCGAGGAACTTGGCGATGGCTGAAATCTGCTTCGATGATGATGGGGGCTCAAAATCAACCTTGCTGCCGGTTCTGAAGTCGATATACTCGGTGACTGAAGATGAGCTGCTTGAGCTGCTACCAATCGAGATATTGAATCGAGCAAAGAAGTCGGTCGCCCCGCTCACGTTGAGGAAACTCTGAACCCCATAGTCAAACGTTTTTCCTGTCTTCTGGTCCACATATGTGTCAACCATACCACCCTGCTCGTTGAGATCGTGTTAGTGCGTTCCCCTTTTAACCAAATAATTTTAATTTGAAGCGACAAAATCCTGCGCAATTTACTTATAAGACGTACCAGGATATTCTGCTTCTCAATCAAAGCAACACTTTTGTGGAAGTCATCACGAATGCGAACAGCAGCATAGGCACCGGAGGCGCCTCCTCCAATAACCGCAACATCACGGTAGATAATGTCAGGCAGGTCATTAGCGTCGGCAAAGGGTAACGCAGCCCCTAGACTGAGGGCGACTAATGACAAAGATCGCATGGTCAGTGCATAAGAGAAAAAAAGAGTCGAATGTGTACAGGGAATGGCAACCAGAGGAGGGAACTGCCTGGAAAGCTTCCAGCTAACGGAAAGCATTTGCTCTTATAGTGTTAAGATACCCGGCAGCTTCCATTCCCCCTGGCATAACTTCGGCAAATCAAAACGCCAAAGTCCGAAAAGGAATTTAGGGCTCGGAAGGGGACCAGCCGCTTGCATGGAGTGCTCGGCAGACGCCCCGAACTCGTACTTAGATTTCCCAACCGCAGGGGGAGGGGAGAAACAAACATTGGCCAAAACGCCCTGATGACAGGGATTCAGAAACACCGATTCCAATGAAATGAAAACAATATCTTGCTCAATGCAGATTGGTGGAGTTTCCCGTCGTCGTATACATTAGTATACATTAGCGTAATTCCCAAGGATCATCGGTGGATTACACACCCAAGAACAAAAGGGCGACGCGCCGCTCTCTTGAATCTTCAACAATATCTACCCACGCACTTGATCAGGAAAACAGACCTAGGCATCTTGAAATTAAATTTTAAACGATCTCATTTACTCTCAATCTATATCCTCATGAACAAATACGAGTCCCCTAAAGCCCTAAGATTGTAAAACTCGTGGTGGTTCGATTATCCTGCCGTGGGCGAAAGGGTCGAGACTAGAAATCCGAGTACTCGTACACACTCGGAGGATCTGCAAACAGGCCTCACCCAAGGAATCACCCCGATCCAATCATATGGAGACATTCCACTCATGCGATCTCTAGGTTCATCCCAGAGATCCAAACATTCTCGTCTTGGTCGTGGTCCTGATCTCACTGACTACTATTAAGCACTCATCGCCTGCTCCGTATTTACGGACTACGAGTACCCAGGAAAGACTCTTCGCTTCAAAAGGTCAGGCCTGGAATTGATTGCTTTAAGCCAGTTTTCGGCCCTATTTTGGCCCCAATATAAGTCTTGGGGGCCAAAGTATGCATGTTGCCCCATGCAGGATTGAATTCATGAGTCTTGGCCCGTGGGTCCGATCTAGCATCGCCCCTTTTATTTCCACGTCCTCGTGGATAAATCACTGTACACATCAAATGAGGGTGGATGGCCAGGCACTCCGCAACGCAACGAATTGCTTTTATTTTATTTTTCTTCAAGATTATGGGTTAATACTTCGCTTTGGAAGGATCCTAGTAGCTTGGCATGAACAGGAACATCATCTTCTCCATGGACGAATCGAACTTCATGACGTTGCATCGGATAAGCTGGATGCCGCTAATCCTGCAGGGGTATACCAGAATTCTGGAGACGATTGACTTTTTTCGGTGATTCATTTGAAATCCTTCGCCCTCAGGACGCTGAGACACACACGCCACTGTTCGCAATTGGGGCTCGAGAATATCCCCTGTGTTGGTTCGCGGGAATAAATAGTATATCTCCTCTATAATATGCCACTAGTGGATATATGCAGTACTATTATTCATCTGGGGCTGGCCTACCTAAAACTTGAAGTCTCCGTATACCTTTCTCTTCAGCAACATGAGCTCTTGATTCTGCTTAACTCCATCATGGCGCCAAGTACGGGGTCGACGGGTACAGATTCCAACACGGAGTGGCAAAACAATTTGCCCCGGATTTTAGTCGTGCAGACAATCTTCACGTTTCTGGCCCTTTTGGCTGTTGGTTTACGCCTTTATGTTCGGATCAAGCTTATCAAGAACACTGGCGCTGATGACTGGACAATGTTGATAGCAGCTGTAGGTTATCGCCCCGTGTTTTTCGGACATCCCCAAGGGAACTCCGAAATCTATTACTGACATTTGAGTGAGATAGTTATGTGCCTTGGGGGGGATGGATCCTTTGGGTTTTTGAGGGGACTCACGGGCTGGGCCACAGTGATGCTTGGTTTGCAGAAGGCAATGGTGACGCAACAAAAGTTTCACAAGGTTCCTTCTGGCAGGTGATAATCGACTCTGCATTAGGCATAGCCATGCTCAAGATCTCCATAGCTTTGAACCTACTGAGATTGAGTCCAGCTCGATGGTATGTGTATTGTCTTTGGACAAGCATTGGTAAGTTTAATAAAATTCACAATTCCAAACAAAACATCTCGTTTCGAAAGTTGCTCTTCTATTTACATTTAGTTCTGACTGTACTGACAATAAATTATACCTTCAGTGATTGTCGCGGCTTATTGTTTCATGGGAGCCATGGCCTTTTTTCTTTATTGTCGGCCTATGTCGGCATTCTGGACTCACTCTTCGGGCTCTCAATGCTATCCAATACAGCCTTTTGTTACATTTGGACTCGTGAACACTGGTATACTTCCCTTTAACTGCGCATGCTAGCTCAAGAGCTTTGTTAAAGCTAATAGTGTAATTTCTGGCAGGATTCAACATCTTCACGGATGTTTTTTTCGCGACAATCCCCATTCCAATTATCTGGACTCTACAGATGCGACGCAGAGTTCGGATTTATCTGATAGGTATCCTTAGCCTGGGCTATCTGTATGTGGTATCATATGTTGCATTTTCTGCTATGAAAATTGAAGCTCCACTGACCATCCTTTTATGGGCGCAGAGCCGTGGTCTTCGGTGTACTGAATGCAATTTACCAAATTGCTTTCACTAAAATAACGGATCAGTATTTGTATGTTTCTAGGACTATTTCAATCAAAGTTCAACATATACTGACAACTATTCTAGGAACGACTGGATTCTATTCTGGGCAACGTAAGTATCAGACATCGCTATTATCCCAATGATAACTTCCGAGTCGGTCAATAGAGGACGTATAGGTTGGCTAACAATTTGGAAACTAATACAGGCTGCAATTTACCACCGGTATCATGGCCGCTTGCATTCCCTCCCTCAAACCTCTGGTTAGCAGTGTTCTCAAGTTATTGGAGTATTCCAACTCCCGATCTCAAGGTCCCCACGGCAGTCACTATCGATCCCAACGGGCTGCGACTGGAACTAGAGGAAGTATTCACACAATGGGGGGAGGCGGAGGCAATCATATGTGGTCTATTCATCGGGGTGACCAGTATGCGCTTCAGGAGCTAGGGAGCCGGGGTTCTGGGGACGGCTCCAATTCTGATGAGGTTCGCCTGACTCAGAACGGGGACTATAACGTCACAGCAGCATACGCCCAGAACTTCTCTGCCTCGGATGAGACCTCTCCGGGTCATGCCAATAATTACGGTTCAAAAAGTGGCATCATTAAAACTACCGAAGTTATCGTACATTAGAGAATAATTTTGAGCCCATTTTAACAGACTTGGACCTCTAGAACTTGACCTCGATCTTCGATCAGTAGGATTACCTAGGTAGTTTTACTCGAGGGCTGGTAGTAGTAGTATTGACTCATGCCCAGACGGATGTATATTTTTAGTATTTACTAGGTAGTAGTACCGACTTCTTCTGTATCAGTCAACTTGAACTTGAAGACCCCGGGAAGATGAGTGCTAGAGAGAACACCACATGTGAAAGGAAAAAGGTCTTACTAGATGGCCTGATACTTATAAATCCAGGGCACCAGGAAATAACCTTGATCATATGAGCTAGTACTAGTAGTATAAACATGTAGAGAATGCTGCCTAGGTGTATGTACAAGTAGATGCCAGATTAGGTTATCTGGCCAATCACGTGGCCGCATTTCCCCGCGATCCGCCACGTGACAGTATCAGCTGACATCATTGCTAACTTCATTTCTCTCCACCCCAACACCATTTCTTACTCCGCCAGTAAACATCCTGATTCGTTAGTACTTAGTTGTCCAAGTATGTTTCGGTGCATTGCAGATTACACCTAATAACCCAGCCATATCCTACCAAACTCGCCTTTGGGCTCTCTGCCGGGTTGGACTGGTCGGTTTATCGAGAATTCTACGCGCAATGGATTCGGGCCTGCCGTCAGACTCATGCCCACCGCGATACCCACTGCGACAATTGTCCCAATCATTGTCCGAGTCCGAGCTGCCAAGTCGGCTGGACCCCAGCATGGGGGATGTCTGGCTGCATGAGAACCCACAAGCTGATTGGAATGCCCTCGATGATTTCTTCTTCTGTTCCTCGGACCCAACAGACTTACAATGGTCTCAGTTCATGGGACTTGGTTCACCTCAAGGTTTTATGGAAGAGACTCAAGACTATCCGATACAACAAACCACGGAGCACTTGGTCCAACCCGAGCCGGAGAAAATCCCTTCGCAGAATCTTGCGAATGTTCCACAGTGGCTTGATGGAGCATACCGCCCACCCATGCCCTGCAGCCACTGCCGTAGGCATCGATTGCAATGTCTGATCCTTCGAACAACAGAGGCTAATCCAAACCCTGTCACTTCTTGTTCCAGCTGTGTGGCACTCTTCCGGGAATGTAGTCTCGCCAAAGGCGAAAAACGACTCCCATCTCGCTTCGAGACATTTTCACCCGTACTCGGTCACCTGCATGGCCTGCCAGAAGACGCAGAATATGGAATAGCTAACCAACAGGATGTTCTCGGCCATGACCGCACGGTAACCCAAGGCGTTGACCCTGGGATTGAAAATAAAGATGAACGCAAGGATTCCAAACAATTTGTCCGGAAAGGGGCCAGGGTCTTACGAGAATGGTTTTATCAAAACCAAGAGTACCCATATCCTACTGAGGTACAGAAGGAACAACTTTCGATGGAGACTGGCTTCTCTCAGAAGCGTGTCTCGACTTGGTTTGCGAATGCTCGTCGCAGACAAAAGCAAAAGTTTCAATCGTCGAAACAAACTTCGAACTCACGCTCCCGCGCAGGCTCTCCGATGGTCACCAGCACGTTGAGCTCAATGACGCCCATGGAACGCTGGAAAGCATCTCCACCCGAAGACGAGCCCGTTTTGGAATCGGCTATTCAAGACGCTATCGCTTCGGGCGTGGCGGATCCTGGCCCTGCATCTGACCCGTTCCATTTCGATAGATCTGCAACAGATCTTTTCAACCTTGATGAGACATCTTCACATCTGGCCTCCTCTGCTTCTAGCTTTGAGAGCAGAGCCTCTGAGACTTCCGACAGTATTTCCTCGGCCTGGAGCCATCAATCTGGAGAAGGAAATATGCCCTTCCCGCTGCTTCCCAAGACTCCAAGCAGTAGACGACAACGGGGAAGGCGATTTTCGGAAGTTGAATGTCAATACCAGTGCACATTCTGCACCTCATCCTTTCGGAAGCGACATGATTGGGCTCGGCACGAGAAAAGTGTACACCTTCAACTCGACTCGTGGATCTGCACGCTGAATGTCGATGAACTTTACCAACAATATAGTACTTCAGTAGACAACTGCTACTTCTGCGATGCTCCCTACCCATCACCCGCCCATTGGGATGAACATGAATTTCACATCTGTGCTGGAAAGCCAATTGCGGAAAGATCCTTCAGTCGAAAGGATTATTTATGGCAGCATCTCCGCAAATTCCACGCTTGTACTAAGCTTCCTGCCTCAGATCTGGATGTTTGGCGGGGTTCTAATGGCGACGTTGGAAGCCGTTGCGGGTTTTGCAATCAAAATCTTCCTGATTGGGCTTCCCGAGCCGAACACCTCGCGGCACATTTCAAAGGGGGAGCCCGTATGGAACAATGGCAGGGTAATTGGGGACTAGATTCGTCGGCCATGAAAATGTTGAGAAACGCTGTTCTTCCATCACGGCGATCTTTAGTGTCGGGATCTACATAATAACTTCACTCAGACCTCTCAGAATGTAACTCACTCTGAATAGATCCTCCGGGGCTACTCTAAGATCCCAATAACCACCCTGGCAGTCAATCGAACATGGTTGCATTCCTACACCATGCTGGACTACTCGTCCGATCGCCAACATCTGGAATACGAGCAAGTCGATTCAACAATCAAGGGCTGATTGGCAAGCTAAATACAAGATGCTCTTCGGCCTTGCTCCATCGAAGCTGTCTATTTAACAGTGTTGCAACAAGATTGTGCAAGAACAGATATAATAGAAATCACATGAGGGGTATTTGCGAAAACAAAAAGAAACCTATTAATTCGCATCATAATAGACTCTCGTACTTATCAAGTCCCGATCTCTGTTGCTGCGGTTGCGGCGGCGGTGGTGGTTGGGTAGTTGCCTTCATGTTCATATTCATACTTAGCGAGGGTGTCCTGATCGAATTATTCGGGCTTGTGGTGCCCATGTTTGCCGGTGGTGGTGGTATGGAGAATGATGAGTAGTTTGGGGTTTGCTGTTGTTGTAAGGCCGGCTGGGACATTGGTGTTCCGGTAGACATGCCGGATAGCGAAGACATAGAGCCAGGTCTATTCATAGCCTGATTCTGGATGTTCCAGGTTTGAGATGGCTGCATGGATTGCATAGATGGAAAGGGCGAATTTGCCATTGGGGGTGATGTCTGCCGCCCAGGCTCGAGCGAAGGGATCGTGTTCAACTTCTGGTCAGGGGTGATGGATCGGATGCCCAGCTGGTTCGATGCCCCATGGCCAGAGTGATTGTCAGTGGACCACGAGAATGCAGGTGACATGCTGGGTCGTTTAGTGGCTGGCTCTGGCTCCATGCTCCCCCAAATGTCAGCGTCCTTGCCATTTGACGATGGTTTTTTGTTAGCAAGGACAAGTCGTTCGAAGTTGTCTTTGGCACTGTCCCCATCAGGAGACGTAAGGCCGGTGGCAGACTGCGAGAAACCGTTGGCACCATTCTGGAAACCCCCAGAGTCTCCACCCGACGAAAGCTCTTGGAGCTTTCGGGTTTGTTCCTTCTCGATTTTGATCGACAGAGACTTGATCAAGGTCATGAACTCGTTGAATTGGCTCAAATTCAGGAGGGGACCAAGGCTGAAGCTCCAAAGAATGGGAAGTACTTCCAGAGCGAGAAACTCCGTGTCGGCAACCTTTCCAACTTCACGGAACACCTTAAGAGCCGCCATCATGACGGAAGGTTCTTTTGTCTTGATGGCCTTGAGGGAAGGAACAAGCTTTTCTTGGATGGTATACTTGTCCAGGATAGATGATTTAGCGGTTTTGGTAGGCTGGACGACACCAGAAAAATCATCGAGCCCATCCGTTTCATCCGCCAATCCACCACACAGGACGGCGAAAGCCTCCAGGCTGCGAACCTTGATAGCGAGACTGCTTGTTTTGCTGAAAGTGCTCGCGATAGGCGGAAAAACTTCATTTTTGACGGTGCTAAAATCGAGTGTGGACAAATATACAGGGAGGCACTTGATAGAAGCGTCCACCAGGGAATGGGTGGGCGAGTCCAAACCAAGCCGTATTAAGGGTAGAATATCTAATTCGGGGGTCAGCTTGGCGACGGCAAGTATGATAAGAAAACTGACCATCCTTGAATTCCATGCCGGAGCAATTTTCTGTGACAAGATTCATGTTCTCCAACACGACCATGAGCCCTGCATCCTTCTTGGAGTCGCGTTCCGGGGCTGTTGCTTTTCCTTGGCCGGTTCCAAAGACCTCTTTCAAGCGAGGGATAATCTTCTCGGGGAAAATGCGACGTCCATTGGGGATACGTTTGAGAATACCAAAGACATTCTGTAGCAGCAGAGCAAGTAGCTCACGATCCTTCATTTCATCCAACAGGGACCCGAGGAGCTTTCTTTCCAACACTGAGATGGGGAAGTCTGCCAAAACCCGTTGAAGCCCTCTTAGGAATTGAGACTTCTCATTTGGATTCTTGGCGGGTAAGGACTCTAAAAAGCGGATGGTTGATACCAGAACATTATCGAAATATTGGGATTGTTGAAACTCGCGGGCATTCATGCGCTGAGCCGGTCTCCGAGTAATGAGGCGGGGGAGGACTTGAGATTGAACATCCTTAGGAATCGGGTTCGTGCAAAGGAAATTGTTGCTTTGAGATGGCGTTGTTGAAGGAGAGCTAAGGAGCTTTTTATATGTCGACAGATTCATATGGGTCTCTAGAGGGGAGACATGAGGCGAATTGTAAAGAGCAATAATGATGAGGCCCAGAGAAAACAAATCAGCGGCGGATGAAACGTTGGAATCCAAAGCAAAGTCCGGGGAGGTAAAGTCCATATTAAGTTGGACGGAAGCTGGCAGTCTTGGGTCTTGATACAGAACCTCGGAGACGGCGAGCGGTGGTAATGATGAGGGAGTCTCGGAGGAATCTGGCGGCCCGGCAAATCCAAGGCCGGAGATCTTCCAGTCTGACTTGGCATTGATGTAAATAGCATCCGGGTTGAGATTACCATGAACCAGGCCAGCGGATTCGTGGAGGAACTCAAGACCCTTGGCGACCTGGAGCAACCCCTTTTGGATTTCCAACTCATCAATTTCAAATTCCCGGCGTCTGCGAGTGCCATCCGCACTCTCCACCATGTAACGGCCCGCCCGCAAGCCCCCACCGGATGCGCCCTCCTGCTCGTTCTTATCCAAGAGCAGCCCTGACAATGACGCGGTCAGATGCTCTGTCGCAAACATGAGGCCGCCGCCGCGGGTCTCCTCGACCGGCTCCAGCACCTGAAGGATTGAGGGGTGCCTCAATTTGGCGAGATTTCCAGCTTCCCGCTTGAGTCGTTCAATCACATCGTCTTGGATCTTTTTTGTACCGGAGGCTGAACGAGAGCCAAAGCCACCGGATCGCGGTTCGAGGGTCTTGCGATCGAAAATAAAGACGGAGGCGGTAGTCCCGGTGGATTTCTTCTTGGCATCATGAATTTTCCAAGGGCCCGAATAGATCGTGGCATGAGGGGAGATCTGATAGTTGGCGGAGATATTGGAGCTGAATGACTTTAGCGCGTTGGAAAACATGGTGGGCCGGATCGCACGGCGTAAGTGCAGATCATAGAGAGCGTAGGAAGGATCGATTAAAAGGGTATAATGAGGCTGACAGAAGGCATGATCCACCGGCAGCCTTGGAACAATTAAGAACAGCCGATCTCAGAGCCTTCAAGTTGAATGGAAGTGGAAGTGGAAGTGGAAGTGGAAGTGGACATGTGCAACTGTGGAATATCGCGATGCGTGGGGGCGGTGAAGGATTCTGCCCCAAAACAATCCGAAGTATAAAAGTTGCATTTACAGTTACAATTACAGAGTGCCAGTGGATATAGTAGTAGTAGTAGTAATTAGCATGGAATATATGAAGTACTAGCAGCATACTAGTATGGCAGGTTTAAAGTTTTAGTGGTCACTAGTAATAAGAGGTAGTAGTGTGGTTTACTCAGACTTGGTTGAAACTAGTTGAATATATATAGTAGTACTAGTGAGTAGTAGTAAGCCCCAGGACTACCTAGGTAGGTACTAATAGTACCTAGTAAGTTCCAAGGTTAGGTAGTAGTTATGGTGGGTAATAGTATGGGGTCTCAAACTTTTGCAACGCCACTGTGGTACTACTGGTACTACTGGTATTACTAGTAGCATCGTGATTAATTGAAATCTTCAAGTTGAAGTTGAACTTCATTGAACTAGAACGCCTGTATCGGATCCCATGGTATATCATAATTCATCAAGAAAAGAAAATCTAAAACCAGAGCCCAGAATCACTTCCTTCGAGGTGTCGGTGTCCACATGTTGCCTAATCCGGAACTCGGCTTGGAGTTGGAGGAAGATCGTGGGGTATTGCCACCAACTTGATGCAGCAATTGTTGGGCCGCCGGAGTGAGCATTTTCCGTGGCACCGAATTCGAACCGACCGTCGGCGCTGATCCACGCAGGTTGAAGTCGACCCGAGGACTGCTGGCAAAACGAGGGGTGGTCGGAACCGGGGTCTTGGTGATACGGGCGGCTTTTTCGGCGCGTTTGTTCCGGGCGACGCGATCGACCAGACGGTGGTGTAAGGCCTCACGTTTGCGTGATTCGCTGATCTGGAATGGGTTTGGTGTGGAATCGGCAGACCCGAGGAGACTCCAGTCAGTTGTCATTGACTCATCCGTTGAATCCCCCACCGGTTCAGGCTCAGGTTCATCTTCGTCCACAAAGGCATATCCGTTTACACGAGGTGTTTCGCTGCCGGCCACCGCGGAGCCGACCTCCGAGGCGTCGAGGTGAGGTTTGCCGGCAATGGCGTCCCGGATCGCGGAGATGGAAGGAGATGGAGGGACCTTGCTCGCAGCGTCCGCTGCGGCCGCCGCCTCGGTATCCAGGAGTCGTGTATTTTGATATAAGACGCGCTGGGGACCCGCTCGAGAGGATGCCTCTGCTTTCTGTTGTCGTGTCTCGTGCGTATCTTCGACAGATGACGGTAAAAACATGAGGGGATTCTTTGGTCGGGCCTCCCAGGCATCGGGCCTGGCAGGGCGTGCATCAAGGTCGGTCTTGATGGCGGGTTGAGTGTGATCTTCTTGTTGAACCAGCTCGGTGTTTGGATTACCCCCCTGTGCAGTGATGCGCTTCACCTCTCGTTGGTGGTGTGCAATTTGCCGGGCGGTTGGAATTTTGTTATTGTTCCACACCCAGGCATATTTCTCTCGTCGCTTCGCATTTTGCTTGTCGAGTACCCTGTTAAACGACTCGTTATCTTCGCTGGTATACTTGGCTTGGAATGCCATGAGCCCCATATTGGATACGTCTGGAACATTGCGGTCGCGGGTTTCGGTGGCGGTAGTGACAGTCGAGGCGACCGATAGAGGAGTGTCACCTCCCCATCTGCGGGGCGTTTCGTCTAGATGGCCGGGCGGGATATGCTGGGGGGTGGCGAGGAGCGATGCGGAGCCGGTTCTACGCCGCGCATTCGAACCAGGCGTAGGAGTTCGCATGGTATCCGTGAGCTTCTGTTTCGCACTTTTCACCCAGTCTTTGTCTTTGGATTCAAGTGCGTCAAGGTACTCCTGCTTGGCATGAGTCTCGAGAAGACCCGGGAAAAAGTCCCGAGCAATGATATGCGATAGGGCATCGGTGTAGACATCTTCATCGAGAGCGGTTGCGGGACGTTTGATCTGCTTGGGAGGTGGAGGCGGAGGCATGAGCTGGCCATCGGGCCGCTTTGTCAGGGCGTGTGACGGTTGAGATGCCATGATTCTCTGGTGGTGGCGAGGGGATCATAAAGAAATCATGTTGTGCAGTTAGTTATCGGGTGACTGGTCTCTTTCAAAGTCGGTTGGTGCAATGTAACGGGGGATAATGCAAATCCAGGCGGTTCGAGGTTGTCCACGGGGATTAAGTCACTGGCGGAGACGGAAAATGAGATGTCTTATCCGGTAGAGTCGTGGACAGTTTGGGAGAGAATGGAGGGGAAGTTGAAGGAAGTTGAGGAAGATGACTTTGATGGTGATGCATGGTGGTGGTGGTTACTCCGCCCGGCAGAAAGTGTTTCTCCGCCTGATTCTGCCACTTCTGCCACAGCGGAGAAGTAGAAGAGAGAAGAGAGAAGAGAAGTAGATATACCAAATAGATATACCAAGTAGCTAAACTGGATGAATGAGGCTGGTAGTAATAGAATAGTATTACTGCGACCGGAATCACTACATAAAACAAGTCTAAGACCTACTAGTAATAGTAGGAAAGACAACTCGAAAGATGACCTCAGTGCAAACAAGTCAAACACGTGACCCATGACGACGGAGTGCCTGTTATCGCCATCTCCACTCCTTCTCCATCTCCACCTCCACCTCCACATCAACAACATCCCTCCCCCTTCACCATGAGGTTACAACGATCTAGGAATAGGCGAGACCGCCCCCCCTATCCTCACAGATCTCTTCCTCTCCGCCATATTCTTACCCCACGCGGTATCTGCATCCCATAACTATAACAATAACAACATCCCCTCGCTTCAGGCACCCGTTCTCCCGCCACTCATACCATCCGAAGACTCACCTTCTATCCCCGCAACACATGAGTTCTCTCTTCGCCATATATTTCACCGCGATACACATCGATACCCAGACGACGTACATATCAGACTAGATGTTACCCCGGATACTCACCTGAGTATCTTGCCCGAAGACGGCACCGAAGCCGAGACCCAGGCCGAGGCCGATCCCGTAACAGTCCATCCAACCCTTTTCGCCTCGTCGAACCCGATCACCATAAACCGACTCGCCGATCGCCGTATCTCCGTTATCGAAGATCACCTTTCATCGACGAGCGAGGCCTCCGTTGCGGCATGGGTCCTGGATACACTCCCCGGTCCGAATGTCACCGACAAGGAGACCGTCTTGACATTTGCCAAGATGACCGCAAACGACTACATCCAAATCCCCGGTAGTACCTCGGAGTGGAAGACCATTCATGGCAAGTTCAACTACTCATCTAGCTTTGGCTGGAAAGGAGATAGCCTCCGAGGTCATATCTATTCCGACAAGACCAATAGCACCGTGGTGATCTCCCTTAAGGGCACATCCCCCGCTCTATTCGATGGCGCGGAGACCACAACCAATGATAAAGTCAACGACAATCTATTATTCAGTTGTTGCTGCGGCCAGGGAGGGTCATACCTGTGGAGGCAAGTCTGTGACTGCCAAAACGCAACCTACTCTGCAAATGTGACATGTATCTCCGAGGCGATAAATGATCAGAACAGATACTACAAAGCCGCCATCGATCTCTATTCCAACGTGACCGAGATCTACCCCAACGCACATATCTGGCTCACCGGCCACTCGCTCGGCGGTGCTTTATCAGGTCTACTCGGTCTGACATTTGGCCTCCCCGTCGTGACCTTTGAGGCCGTTCCGGAAGCGCTACCAGCCTCCCGCCTTGGTTTGCCAATCCCGCCTGGCTATCAAGTACATCAGGAACGGCAAAATACTGGCGCTTACCATTTTGGACATACTGCGGACCCAGTATATATGGGCACTTGCAACGGTATTAACTCAATTTGCACCTGGGGCGGCTATGCGATGGAATCAGCGTGCCATACCGGGAAGATCTGCACTTACGACACTGTGGCCGACAAGGGCTGGCGGGTCGGAATTGGCACCCACAAAATCCAGAACGTTATTCGGGACGTCATCGAGGTGTATGATGATGTTCCTTCGTGCGAGGCTGAAGAAGAGTGCTATGATTGTATCCTGTGGAAATTCTTCAAGAGCAATGGATCTGAGATCACGACGACGTTCACGACCACAACCACCACATCCCCTACAGTTACGAGGACATCTACCTGCAAGACTCCTGGGTGGTGGGGCTGTCTCGATAGCTCTACTACTACCGCGACCGGGGGGACCTCAACGACTACAACGACAACGGCTACGACCACCACCGCAGTGACAACGACGACTTGTCACACTCCAGGCTGGTTTGGATGTAATGACCCCACGACAACCACAATCGCCACTTCTACCACATCTTGATATATACCTGGGTGTTTTGACCAAGCCAACACTCGATGAATCTATACTCTATTGATTTGGCAGCCTGACCAAGCGCATAATTGCTATAGAAATGCTTTCTTTGGCAGCGGCAACAACAGTCCAAGCGCCATGCATAGTTGTGGCAAATACCATAGATACCGGGCGTTGGGCCATTCGCAATTTAATAAATACTACCAATATAAGCTGCCTCAGATACCTTTCTGGTTGTAGTGAAGTATTTTTGATACAGTATTTCGTGGTGCAGAAATTGCCCCCCCCATCATCGAAGTAACCCGACCCAGGCCACTTCATTCCTTTCCGACCTCAAGCCCCTGGCCTTTCCAGTATTTCCCAAGGGAGGAGGTTGCCAGGTTCAAGCAATATGCTGCTTCCCAACTAGCCAACCTACCAATGACCAGATGAGAACTGCTCGATGATATCAGTCAGCGCAGCGTGGAATTTATCTGTGGTGAATGTCTATGGATCTCACCGGTTACCAGCACGTCGCAAAACAAGAGG